AAGAGTGTTGCTGAAACGGATGAAAGACGTAGTAGATGCCCAACCTCGAGATCAACAGGCTGGATTCCGTAAGGATTGCTTGTGCACAGACCAGGTTGCGACACTACGGATCATCGTTGAACAATCAGTTAAGTGGAACGCATCACTATACTTCAACTTCATTGACTATGAGAAGGCGTTTGACAGTGTGGACAGGAGAACACTATGGAAACTTCTTCGACACTATGAAGATCCTGAGGAGATTGTCAACATTATCCAGAACTCATACGATGGATTGCAGTGCAAAGTGTGCATAGAGGACAACTGACTGATGCATTTCCAGTAAGGACCGGAGTCAGAAAAGGCTGTCTACTCTCCCCATTCCTCTTCCTTCTAGTGATTGACTGGATTACGAAGACTTCGACATCTGACGGGATGCACGGAATACAATGGACATATCAGAATCAATTAGACGATTTGGACTTCGCAGATGATCCACCCCTCCTATCCCACACACTCGAACAAACGCAGAGGAAGACAACAAATGTAGCAGCAGTATGTGCATCAATAGGCCTCAACATACACAAAGGAAAAAGCAAGATCCTCATATACAACAATGGGAACACTTACTCAGTCACACTTGATGGAGAAAACTCTGGAAGATTTGAAAACATTCACGTACCTGGGAAGCATGACTGATGAACATGGAAGATCTGATGCAGATGTAAAGGCGAGGATTGGGAAAACAAGGACAGTATTTCTACAATATGGAACTCAAAATAACTGTCAACTAACTTCAAAGTAACTTCGCCTGTAGCTCCTCTGGGGGTTACTGCCGGTCCTAAGCCCGGGTAAAGGAGGAGGGTTGGGCATGGGGTAAGTAAGTAAGTAACTTCAAAGCGAGAATCTCCAATATGAACGTCAAGACAGTCAGTCCTACTGTACGGACGTTGGAAGTGGATCGGACATACATTAAGGAAATCACCAAACTGCATCACGAAGCAAGCCCCAACTTGGAATCTGGGAGCGAAACGGAAAAGAGGACGGCCAAAGAACACATTACGCTGGGAAATGAAAGCAGATATGCAATGGATGAATACCGGCTTGAAGGAGGTGGAAAAGATTCTCATGACAGGGTTGGATGGAGAATGCTGGTGTGCGGCCAATGCTCCTTCATGATGGGTAACAGGCGTAAGTAAGTAAGTAAATGTAAGGATAGCAACCTGTTGTTGAGAGTTATTTTGAACCCATTGATTAAGTTGGTATCCCGAAGGAAGGCTGTATTGAGCTTTGGTATTGCTGTTTCTCGTTTCATCAGTATTTCTTTAGCTTCAGCAACTATCAAGTTGGTGGTTATCTGAAACTACGTCGGCTTCGGCCGTCCAGTGCTTGCAGGTTTTCCACAGTGATCTAGCTTTAATTGACTGATGATTTCAACTATACAATTACTAAAATCTCAACAAAACCCTCTTCTGAAATCAATTATTTACATTGCGAAATAAAGACTTTAATTAAAAAGAACAATTTGTTTTATTCTTTGTCATTAGTTCTTTTAATTACATAATCATTACCCATGTAATTAAATTATAACAACCATGGATAATTGAGAGAAGAATACATGTCAACTAATGGTATTTAGGATGTAGAGATTGTTAGATGTCATATGAAATTACTTTAATCAATTATGTTAATGAAGATTGTTCCTGGATTTGGGGGTTGGTGACGTTAATGACATAATTGTTTCATTTCATTGTAACTTATCATTTTCATTTGATCATACCGACTGGTTCTATGACGTTACCTTTGCCATGGTAACTGACTTTTTAAATAAATAAATGGAGATAATCAAGTAAACACTTTTAATAATTCCAAACACAAAGAATAAAGCAATCAAGGCAACTATATATTGTTGTAGATAATCATTGAATGCTTTCACACAACCCTAATAATATATAAAAACGAAGAAAACGAAGTAAGAAGGATGAAAGTAACGAGTTACATAATTACAAAGTAATGTTGAAATGTTAATGATATTTAATTCCGTCTGTGGCTCCCCCGAGGGCTACTGCCGGTTCCAAGCCCGGATAAAAGAGGGGGATTGGGCATGAGGTTAGCGAACCCATCCTGTAGAAAACTAACTCACTATAAAAACGCTTACCAGAAAACATTATTGAAACCATTTTAACTCTGCCCTGCGAGATCAAGGAACAATTATTACGTCTCATGATGTAAGCCAAAATTCTTCGGAAGTCACGATGACGATGTCCCATCTAACAACCAGAGCAAATTTGTTTATGGGTACATGCAACGTCCGAACGATATGAGAGACCATGGGAGTCTTCTTAATTGCTGCAGAAGTGAGGAAATACAATCTGTTGGTGCTTGCGATCAGTGGAACACATTCGACTGAGGTTCGACAACAACGACTATCTTCAGAGGAGCTTCTGTAATACTCTGGACATGAAAAAAATGCTCAACATCGAGAAGGAGGTGCGTTGATGCTGTACAAAGAAGCACAAAGTGCACTTATAGGATGGTAATCTCATGGACCAAGGATCATCAAGGCCTCCTACAAAACAAAGAAAGATGGCATCGCAATGAACATCATCCAATGATATGCGCCTACCAACGACCACGATAAAAACGTCAAAGACTAATTCTACGATAGGCTGCAGTCGATCGTCGAGAAGTGCCCAACAAAGAACCTGACCATTCTGATGGGAGATTTCAATGCCAAGGTTGGAATGAACAACACTGGATACGAAGACGTCATGGGACAACATGGACTGACTGGGAGAATAGAACGAAAATGGTGGGATATTTGCAAACCTATGTGCCTTCAATAAACTGGTCATAGGCGGCATTATATTCCCACATAAACGCATTCACAAAACCATATGGACTTCACCCGATCACAATATACAGAACCAAATCCAACATATCTGCATCAAAAATGTTGAGGAGGAGGATGGAGGATGTGAGAACCAGGAGAGGAGCTGATATAGAACCAGATCATCACTCGCTGGTTGACAAGATAAAACCATACTTTAGAAGCATTGGACAATGGAGCGGACAACATCACAAAAGTTTAATACGGCCTTTCTTCGGGATCCTGACAAACTCAACAAATGCAAGATAGCCCTCAACAATAAGTTCCAGGAGTTTCATGATCTACTCAATGGAGAGGGAACTACCATGGAGAGCAACTGGAAAGGTATCAAGGAGGCAATCATTTCAACATGTCAGGAGTTTCTGGGCCAAAAGAACCACCATCGCAAGGAATGAATCACTGTTGGTACACTGGATAAAATTGAAGAAAGGAAAAACAAGAAGGCAGCAATCAATATCAGCCGAACCAGAGCAGAAAAATCCAAGGCAAAAGCTGAATACACAGAAGTAAACAAGCAAGTGAAGAGGAGCATCAGAACCGACAAACGTGAATATGTGGAAGATTTAACAATGACGGCGAAAAAGGCTGCAAGAGAAGGAAACATGAGACAATTATATGACACAGCAAAGAAACCCGCTAGAAATTGCCGTAAAACTGAACGACCAGTGAAAATCAAGGAAGGCAAGGTGATTACCAACATTGAAGAACAAAAAAACAGGTGGATAGAACACTTCAAAGAACTCTCGAATAGACCAGCTCCACTAAAGCCACCCATCATCAAGGTAGCACTCACGGACATCCTAATAGTTGTTGGCCCACTAACAATTGAAGGGATTATTATTATTATTATTATTATTAATATTATTATTATTATTATTATTAGCTTTATTCGATATTATATTTTTGGTACAATATGGAATTCTCAGCACAAAGTACCTCAACAAGTTTTCGTTTCTTACTTCTTCGTCCTTCCTGACGATAAATATTGAGTGATCGCAGGTTAGAAGTTGGCAGCCCAGTCAATCGACATCTGGATAGTGTACATTCTTCTCGCTGCATACTGCCAGCAACCACGATATCTCTTATTAGGCCTTCTGTAACCTTTACAGTGAAAGGTTTTACACTTTTCAGAAACGCACCTGAATAGGTTGTGCGATTAATAAGCATAATGATGTATTAAAACAAACGAAATTAGATAACTTGTTGAAATATCTAGATGACAGGAACAGGTAGCCCAGATGTTTAAACAGGTCGCCAAAGCATGGCCATCAGACAAATCAGGAGCGGCAATGTGGGAGGACCAGACAACATTCCAGCAGAGGCACTGAAAACAGATATCGCAGCCACTGCAAAGGTACTCCACATCCTCTTCAGCAAGATTTGGGATGAAGAACAAGAACCGACAGACTGGATAGAAGGACTTTTGATCAAGACACCAAAGAAAAGCAATCTCAGCAAGTGCGATAACTACAGGAGCATCACTCTCCTCTCAATACCAGGAAAAGTCTTCAACAGTGTATTATTAAACAGAATGAAGGATTCCGTAGACACCAAAACTCGAGATCAACAGACTGGATTCCGTAAGGATCGATCGTGTTCAGACCAAATCGAAACACTACGGATCATTGTGGAACGATCAATCGGATGGAATTAATTACTCTACATCAACTTCGTCGACTACGAGAAAGCATTTGATAGCGTGGACAGGACAACACTATAGAAGCTTCTTCGACACTATGGCGTGCCTGAGAAGATAGTCAATATCATACGAAACTCCTATGAAGGAAACTCCTATGAAATTCACAGATGTGTTACAATTCATAAGTATACATAGTAATTAAACTAATTGAGTCACGATACTTTAGTAGACGGTAACAAAACAAATTGAGAAGTACCATGGAGTCAAACCTTTCATCAGAGATAATGTTCTCAGTGAAATGGTTGTATTATGTAACATTAATGGTTTGCACATAACACTGACTACATGTCAACCTGTTCCGGTGACAACAAACTTCTCATCCCGACTGAATAGGTTGGTTTAGTGACATCCAAATTCAGTTGAAAGACTATAATGACGCTACAATGAATTTTCTTTCAACATAAACACCACACTTCGGATGATAATTTAGTTTTAATAAAACGTCAAAGATGATCTCTATACAAAATTCATATCATAAATAATTCACAACTTACTCGTACATAAACTAAAGTACCAACAAAACAGGAGAATGGTATCGTTATATTTGATTTTATATAATCCCGATTTGACGTAGAACCACAACATTTGAACTATTAAAAGAAAATGAAATGTAAGTATGTTTATGGAGCATTATTGAAACCAAATGTTTGATAAATAACTTACCTTTCTCTGCAGTTTATTCATTTCCATTTGAAGATAAGGGTTTGTGTAAAATTGTTTCACAGCGTTTACCACTGAATGATTAGCGGCTGTTTGAAACTGTTCAACACAAAAACACAAATAATTTCAACATGCTCATATTATACATTCAACCAACTTTTTCTCCAGATGTAACCGTCATTGTGGCTATGGAAATCTCTACTATCACTGCAAGACATAAACATGCAATGTGCTATACACAAGTAAAGAGAACAGAAGAATATCATGTTGGTTGATAGAAAAGACAAATGATTCAATATTTACCAGTATGATAATGAACTGTTTCGGTTTCCAAAATCCAATGTATCCAATAATTGTACCTACTAGAATGAGGCATCCTATGAAGATTGCTGTTGGAATGATAACTGGTGTTATCCCACTCAAAATTTTGGCGAATTCGTTCACTGTTTCAAGTGCTTTGATGCCTAACACAAGAAGAACAATGCCAAATATCTTGAATGGGAGACTTGAACAAAGTAGATTGACTTACGACGAAACAACTGTTCAACAGAATGAACAATTTATTCCAAAATTGTTGTGATATTGACAAATTCATATTCATCGACAATATGATTTCGAATACGATTTACGAAAGTGATGGCTGCAATAAACAGAATTGAGATTCAACTTTTCTATATCCTGTTGTTTGCAAAATAAGCAAATTGATTCTAATGCAATGCACATTGAATCCCAATTATAAACTGTCTGTGTTGCACTGTTTGCTCAATAGTAACTCATACACATTCGACTCAATTGTTCTGAAATTGTAAGTTGTCAAATCATGGTAAAATATTTTTGGAGTCAGATGAATTGAGAATATTCAATTTTACACATGTGCAATAATTGTGTTGTTGTTGTTGTTGTTGTTGTTGTTGTGTTGGTGTATATGTCAGTCAGATACATTTGTCATATCAAACAATGTGAGACAAGTTTGCTTGTATTAAGTACGCATATTTCTCTCATTATGTATGATACAATGAGATGAATCAGTGTATACAATCTTGTCAGTAGTTAATATAGCATCAACAAATCAGATAGTGAACAATTGGTGAAATGAAATACCAAAATGTAATCTGACTGAAATTATATTATCAGCTTTGAATTCAGTAGTATGCAAGTAAGTTGCAGAAGTGTTTGCAGTATTCTCATGAACAGTTATCATGGTTTGGATTATCAAAGTGGTGCAAAAGTGATAAGTGACTGAAGAATATTTATCGATTTCATAGTGAGAAAATCTATGTTCGGTTAACTTCAAGACGTGTGACTGGTTGAAATGTATGTGGAGTTTGGTTCAATCACCCAAGTGGTTTATTTGTGAACCTTTCTCTGTCCTATTCCACAATATCATGAGCACAGACTTCAAATAGAAGTAAACTGTTCGTATGTCTTCACACATGATGAGCAGTTTGTGTTTTGGAGTGTTTTCAACCGCAATAGGAATAAGACAACAAGTGAATGAACATTTCTAGCTAGACGTGAATCTCAGAGGAACTCAATCAGTCTGATGGGTGTACACACGCACCGGCTTCATACATATAAGCGTGAAAGGGAACGAGAAAGCGATCTCACGGTATAAATTCATTCAGAAAAGATTTCACTAAGTCATTTCATGTTATTAGTAAATTTGAAATGCGTAGATTTGTCGAAACTGATGATTGGTGCAGCAACCAACAGATATACCACAAATCTGAACCATAACATTTGAACGATGAAATTGATTCACTCATAAATTTTGCTACTACAGAAATATATCCGAAACATGATTATTTTGTTACTTTATTTACTTACACCTGTTACCCCCAATACAGTATAGGCTACCGACCAGCCTTCTCGAACCAACTCTGTCCTCCTCCCTCCTTTCTAGTTATATTCCATTTTTGTTCATTCTTCTCATATCTTTCTCCATTTCTCGACGTCATGTGTTCTTTGTTCTTCCTCTTCTCCTTTGGCATCGACGATTACATGTGAGGGCATGCCATGTGACGCAGTTAGGCTATTTCCTCAATCTGTGTCCTATCCACTTCCAGCACTTCTTCCTGATTTTTTCCTCCACTGAAATCTGGTTTGTTTTCTCCCACAGCAACTTGTTGCCGATAATGTCTGGCCAACGGATCCGAAGTATTTTGCGTAGACAACTGTTAATAGACACTTGTATCTTCTGGATGATGGCTTTCGTCGTTCTCCAAGTTTCCACTATAATTTTGGCGAATTGTTTTTTGAAATTCGCCGAACCTATGGAGGTCAAATACCCAAAGCCTGATGTATGTGTTCAAAAAAACAGTAAAACATCTTTCCTTTCCCTTGTGACATCACATTCTTTTTATTGCGTCATTCATTATTTCAACTCTTCCTGAAGTTTTGATTACGTCATTTTCACCTTCCGTTAACTCCTTATTGACTGATTTCTACTCATATCTTTCTTTATTATCATTAATGCGTTTAGACCTTCCTGGAATCCCTTTTGTGGCTACTGCTGGTCCGAAGCTCAAATAATGGGGGAGGATTGGGCATGGGGTTAGCTAACCTATCTCACAGAGAACAAGCTCGCTAAAGAACGCCAACCAGAAAAAATAATTCAAACCACCTAAACTGTGCCCTGTGAGTTAGAAGTTCTTCACTTAAAAGAGTTTGGAATCCTAATGATGAAAGCCGAGTTCTTTCGAACGTCACGAGGCTGAGGCCCCTTCTGACATTTATAGCAACCATTAATTTAGGTACATGGAAAGGTGTTTATAAGTCGAGCTTATTTTAAACAGGATAAATTTGCAACGAATAGAATGAAGTTTTGAGTGAACAGAATATCAATGATGTTTCATGTTTTTAGGACATTCTGTAGGAATGCGTGTTTGATCTCAGTATTTTTGCAGCCAGAATGTCAGCGTGATATAAAAAAAATTAATGATCTACATGTTAATAAAATATAAATCAGTGATCGGTTTGAAGCAAAATGAATAGTCAATCATGTTGTAGTTCAGTATGGAAATTCATCTCATCTCTCTGTTGATCATTATGAGAATGTGAACGAGTAGAAATTTATAAATCATACATATGCTTTGTATTTGTTGTCAGTAGTGTGAAAAGTGTTTGTTAGAAAATAAGAGCAATTGACCAATATCAATTGAGGATTGGTTTCGTTAGCTATGTATGACTTCCCTTTCTAGACAATCATAGAGTGAGTCAGGATACGGTTTAAAAATGACGTCAGGCACTTGCTCAATAACGTCATCTGGCAGCAACGAATTTACGTAACTAAATCTCGTGCTTTCACTTGTGATTCTATTTGCGACATAAACGCTTTCTAAGTGTGCAAATCAGAGTTCTGCCTCTCGAAGTTTTAAAGCAAGTAGAGGTACAGAGATGGCACCCATGGAAAAAGAATTCGATGGAAGGCTTGATGAATCATCAGATAACATGTTACAAAGAAATAATGACAGTAGCAATAATATTAAGCTGTGGATTGAAACATACAATATGAAGAAATAACCAATAACAACAAGGAACATATATGAGAGACTCACCGACAGAAACAAGCTGTCACTTTGCAATCAAATATGTGAATTGTTAACAATTGTAACAGTAATTCCAATGTGAAGTTGCTTATAATATGATTGGTGAATATGCAGCAGACTTGTAGAGAAATGGTGCGTGTTCCAAATGCGGCTCACCAACTACGTAGAGCATCAATTCTCCTCCTCTATATTTGACTCCAATAAATAAATAATATCCCGTTAACCGAATATTTAATGCAGGCTAAATCTCCCAGTAGAATGATGGATTTACTCGAGATGATTCAAAAGCTTGAACACCAGTTATGCAAATGGCTTATTGTTGAAGTTTGGTTAGAATCCGCAAGTGTACAGATAGCATGCACACAGGGAAATCAAGTGAGTGAGTGTGTGTGTGTGTGTCAATGAGTGTTAAAACTCCATATATATAATTATGAGTGTTAATGGACTATGGGTAAATTATTGATCATCTTTGCATTCAACCAATGAGAGAATAGATTGGTGATGGATATGCAGACACATGCGGTCAATCAGGCTCACACATAAATTTACAAAGTGGATTAAATGTCTAAATTGATGAGAACACACAAATAATACACTAGATGAATGTTCTTGTTACAGATGTACGAGATTGATGGAAATAATAAATTGTTCCGTGGAACATGCCATTTAAGAGGCGGTCGGACTGTGATTGTGATAAAATTTTGGAGACGGACGTGTGTGTGAGGAATTCTTTGTAACTCAATGGTATACTGTTTCTAGGACAATAGTTTATAGAAGTGTGAGGCTTTTCAAAAGTTTTGAAAGCTATATTTCTGTCAGTTCACTTGTTCTACTGAGGTACATGACATGTGACATTCTGTTTAACGTCAGTTGGCTTTACAAGGTTCATTGATTTTCCACTCTCTTTTGTACATTCTGTACAATAAACTGCTAATCAAGAAGTTCGTATGTGATCGTTATTGGTAATGTAGTGCTTTTTAACTCTGCTTGTAGCACTTCTGGAGTTACTGACGGTCCCGAAACCAGGTATAAGTGTGTGGTTTGACACGGGTTCGGAAATCACATCCAATAGAAGAAAATCCTGCTAGAAAAACGGCAACCAGATTACACAACTTAAACCATTTAATCTCTGCCCCCATAGTTGAAGGAAGAATTATAACGCCTCATAATGAAAGCCGAGATTCTTTGCAAGTCACGAGACGGATGCCTTGTATAGATACATGCTATAGAATGATTTACCTTCAAACTGATGCTCAAGTTTACTACTTAACCACGTGACATTCTCCAACTCACTTAATATTTTATAGAGTTGAGATCGTGAGTCAATTGTAGCTAGACCAGCATGGAAAACGTGGAAGCACTGGACGGCCGTTTCGTCCCATTATGGGACTCCTCAGCAGTGCGCATCCACGATCCCGCACTCGCGAGATTCGAACCCAGGACCTACCAGTTTCGAGCCAGAGCCCTTAACCGATAGATCACTGAGCCGGCATGCAACGGTGTTAATATTTAACTTCAACTGATCCACGAAATTGAGCAACCATTCACCAATGTCATCAGTGAGTTAATATCTTACAACAGACCTGGTCTATCGGTTAATGACTCTGGCTCGAAACTGGTAGGTCCTGTGTTCGAATCTCGCGAGTGCGGGATCGTGGATGCGCACTGCTGGGGAGTCCCATAATAGGACTAAACGGCCGTCCAGTGCTTCCCGGTTTTTGATGGTGGTCTAGCTTCAATTGACTGACGACCTCAACTCTATAAAATTACTAAAATCTCCACAAAACCCCTTCTGATCACTTAACATTTATTTATGTGTGCCTCATTTATGGTCATTGTTATATAATACTTATCACTTTATAAAACTTTCAGATCTAATGCTTATAAGATTGTCGAAAACAGTTGTCCTCTTGAATATTCCTGATATTGTAAATACTAGATGAGAGTTTCTAATCTGTTAAGTTCAAATAAATGTCTACAATCTGATTATAACACTTCAATCAATTCATCATCTATAAGTTGAAGACTATATACAAACCACTGAATGTTACTG